TTTTTTTTTGAAGCCTTGCGTCGCAAGTCAAATTAAAACAACACTAATTTCCAAACGAACGCACCCTCCGGAAGCCCAGAGCCAAAAGCCAGCCCTGAACTCCAGGGCAGCCTGCCAGCCATTCAGACGGAAGTCGTGGGCAGTCCGTGTCCAGGTGTAGAAATTCAACACTGCATACAAAAACAGCACACTTGCGGGGTTTCACAAAAAAACTTTGCGGGACTTTCACAGAGCTTGCTTCGCTTCTCCTCCTGTGGACGTGCGCGGCCGGCCCTCCCCGCCTGCCTGGGGGGGGAGGGGGGGGCGGGGAGGCACAGTTCTGCTCGACATTTTAGTGTGCAAGGATATACAAAACACAAAAGGCCAGATACCACTTTGGCCAAGACCGGTAAGGACTATGGGTGAACCAAACAGTCTAGAAGAGAAGGTGGTTTATGTGCAAACACATTCACTAGCACTCATCTTGAGTCTCAAATGTGTTTTTACAAGCACGGGATCTGGCTGGCACTTCCGAGGGGCGGCTTAGGGTCTACAAAACCACATGGTGGGGAGAGGGGTGGGGGCTCTTTCAGATGGCAAAGTCTTCCTATCACCTTGAAATGATCAACGAAAAGGAGGAAGGAGGGGAGGGAGCAGAAGAACCTGACTTTGGTGACAGACATCGAAGCGTTTCTGCAAGGCTGCCGAGACCCCGAAGGAAAAGGACCGTCTGCGGCAAAAGGGCAGGTCTCGGCCGAGGGCACCCGGAGCTCCCACAGAAGGCGACAGCAGCCCGCCAGCCTAGTCAGCCAGCCCCCACACTCACCCCCCCCCCCGGGTCTCCGGTGCTCGCGGTTCAGCCCAAGCCACCTCCGATGTCCTGCCTGCCTTTCCCAGGGAGGCTTCACGCTCCAGGCTTCCTTCAGAGGAGGAAGGGGTTAGAGCCATTGGCCGGCTGAGAGACCGAGGGGGGCATCCCCGGGTGGTGGAGAGGCTGCGCCACGGGCCCCATGAGGCCCACGCTCACTCCCGGGCCCATCCTGGTTAGGGAGACCACGGGGCCCGCGGCTGGCAAGGGGGCCAGGGCCACGGGAGCCACAGACGGAAGGGCCCCCGGTTCCGGCCCCGCGTTGAAGGACAGGCTGCCCCCGAGGATGGGGCTGGCCCGCATCTGATTGAGAGTGAGGGGCTGCGGCTGATTCACTTGGAAGGGGTTGACCGTGGCTGGAGAAGGAGAAGCCGACGAAGATGACGAGGACCCTGTGAGCAGAGAAGAGGGGAGGGAAGAGTCAGTCCGAACCTCCACGGCTTCCCGTCTGAGAGCAAACGGCTACACAAGGCACAAGGCCGCAGCAAAGGCCCCATTCAATGCAAGGACGTTTTCAAGGCAAGGCCCAGAGGCCCCAACGGACGGGCCGTGCAACGCCCTTTGGCCAGGAATGAGAGCAGTGGGGGCTGCAGAAGGCAAGGGGAGGGGGCGGAGGAGGGTCTGCAGCCCCACAGAATTCAGATCCCACTGCTGGTGGCTAACCAGGAGCCCAACTAAGGGACTCTTGTCTAGATCAGGAGTTTCCAACCTCGGCCACTTCAAGAGTTGAAGGTGTTAAGATTGTAAAGTAATATGATTGCACATGTATACTGTCTTCTCTTATTTTTTCTTTAAAACTAAGATATGTTAAGTATNCACACTGTTCGGTGGAAATGGAAAGTAATATAAATAAAATAAATAAAACATGGAAAAAGAAGAGAAGGGTAGGCTTCTTACTGGAATAACGTTTTTGATTTTATTACAGACCAGAGAGGATGACACGGGCAGCCCTCTTCTCAATACTACACACAATAGCATGAGCAAACTAATACATTGTATAGTAATCTTTATTAGACTTAAGATGACAAAAATACCTGGGAGAACCTTTTGGATCCTCACAGATGTATCAGGAAAATGAGCTTGCATCCTTGACGCAACTATGAAAGAAACTTAGATGGGGTTATTATGGGAAAAATGTCAGAAATAAATACTGGTACTATATGTCTAGAATATAAAACCTACCGGGGAATGAATGTGGAAGCGCATATGAACTTCCAGCATGTCCTCGAAAATTTCCCTGGAAATCCTCATTATCTGGGCAAAGAAACAATGACAGAAGTAATATCAACTTTACTAAAAAGTTTCTAGATTGTCAACTCTCAGAAATGTCCTCTTGGGCTAGGAAAGAAAATGTGCTCACCCATCTCTGAGATTATTTATGTTGAAAGATTACAAGTGTTTTGAAGTAGACCTGTCAGAACAGATCGTTCCTGCTTTTATGGGAAGCTCATTATTATTCAAATTATTTACTTATTTATTTTGTATCCTGTTTTTATTATTTTTACGAATAATTCAAGGTGGTGAACATATCCAACACACCTTCCTCCTCCTATTTTTCACACAGCAACAACCCTTTGAGGCCGGTTGGCTGAGAGAGAATGATTGGCCCAATTTCCCCTAGCTGGCTTTCATGGCTAAAGCGGGACTTGAACTCACAATCTCCTGCTTTCTAGCCTTGTGCCTTAATTACCAGATTAAACTGAATCTCATCATCTTATTAGTTCACCAAATCATTTGCAATCTAATTCAGAATTCTGAATCACCAAATTCCATCAAGAGATTTCATAACACTATGAGCTACAATCACAATCATAACATATAATCTGTTCCTGTATTATTTATAGAACATAACCTAAGAATTTAGGAATAACTATAGTAGCAAGACATGCAATGAAAATAACAAAGCTTTAAACTATAATCTTCTTGTTTCCATTGTATTTATTAGTCCCATTTTATAAAAAAATAATAATACCATATACTTAGTTTAAAAAGAGAGGGGATAGAACACAGTTCAGTTTTATACTGAAATAATCTAATATGTGACTAAATATTAAGGAAAAAATACATTTATCTATACATGCTTAAAGTATACTTTAGAAAATCTAAGAAAATGCAATTTATATCTACTAAAGCCATAGTACAGAAAATGGCTTGATGTATTACTGGTTATATTATTGAGTAAACAAGGAATAGGATTAGGTTTCTTTTTTAAAAAATGTCGCTAAAATCCCCAAAGAAAATAAAAAAATAATGCTAGAAAACCTCAATCCTGTTCATAGTCATCAATTAACACTTGAAATACATATACTGTATTCAGAGTGAACATCAATGATACCATACCTATGCTCTCACAAGCCATATTGCTTTTATTTCAGAATCATACATTCATCCTGGCAGCACTTACAGATAGACTCAGAAATATTGTCCCAGTCATTCTTCCAGCAGCTGATTGAAATTCAGAAGACAATGGAATGGCCAGAAACCTATTAGAATTCTTATATTGTGCATAGAAAGAAATATGTGAATTTTTACCTTCTTCTGTTGGCTTGTTAGCCACCTCTTCAGCTTCTGGCTTAGTGACCACCATGGAAGTCATGGGTGTTACAAAGCTGTACTTCAGGGAGAGGTTTAATGCTTGGTTTTCCAGGGTTTTTTGCTCTGCTTTTTCTGCCAAAATGCTAAAACACAGAGCATAATTTCCACTGATTCTATATGTGATTCAGGATTTTTTTAAAATATAAAATTAGCATACATCAGAAGTTTTAAAATGTGGTTTGGAACATTCATATTCTTTCACTGAGACACAAAGTGAAACCAACTGAAGGACAGAATAGACTAGGAATGAACCAAGAATGAACAACAGAACTGAAGATAGTTCATGTGTCAACTCCTAACGTTGCCATAGTGAGAGAAAAGGGGGAGCACATTCTACACAACTTGCGGCTAAAGTTAGATCTCAGATTACAGCAGCAGGTTTGGGAGGGGTGCACCTCATTAGGGAATGTGATTTATGACACAGACTGAGGGGAGGGAAGGAACAGGGGTAAAGTTCAGCTATAACTCAAACAAAGCTTAGATCTGACTGTGAAAAGGTCTTGCCTATGGTGCTCCTAATAAATGACTAGTTTTGTGTTGAAACTTGGCTTGATACTCATGAATTGATTAGGGCATTTTTAGGAAACCTGACAGCATGACCTGCAACTAAAAGAAGAAAAACACTGTGCCTTTGTGAACTCAAGCACTAACTACCTGTAATATTTAGAAGAAAGTATTTTCTTTAAGTTACTGTCCCCCCCAAAATATGCAAAGATAGTCACTTACGACTTTTCTAATAGCTGTTGAATGGTTAAATAAGCCCATAATTTTTCAATGAAATTTCCAAATATGTATTCCTGGTGTTCAAAAACTTGTGCTTTCTCTGTGACATTAGCATCTTCTTTCAGGGTCAAATTGCTTCCATGCTGAAAAATAGGGCAAGGGATCAGGGTAAGTTTTTGATATAATAATCAAATTCTATTCTGCAGGACATATTTGAAACGAGAGGTCCTTTCAGTTTGCTACCTTCAAGGAAGCAAATATTATAAACATTAAAATTAAAACACTCGAAATAGTGAATTGGATGGTCAAAATATTGAATTCATTGGACATATTTGCACAACACAATGAAGGCAAAATCTGGTTTAACCTGCAAATGATTCTAACAGCTGTTACACTTGTTGAGCTACAATTCTTTCATTCATGGTTTAAGATTTCCTTATCATCCAATATGTAGTACAGCAGCTTCACCTGTGTCTTCTATACACGCACATATACTCCATTTTGTATTTTTAAAACACTTTGAAGGTAACACACTGTTACTAGTTTTCAGAACTTAGTTTGGAAACATAGCTCAGAATTTCATCTGAAACAAAACACTTGTACCTTTTCAATAGTAGTTACACAATACTTACCCCCTGAGCTTTTATTTCCAAGGAAAATATATCAATTTCATTGTCAAGTTTTCCAGCCACTACAATTTCAGAACCCTCATAGAGCAACTTAAAGTTATTTTCAGTGACGTCCTCTACAGCATTGCCAAGATAATTTATATTAATCTCCTTCAGGATGGGAATAGCCACTTCACTATAAAAGTCCTTAAATGAAGAAAGATAGAACCAGGGGAAATCATTGCATATTTCAGTCAGGGAAATTAAGATTATTTTTAGCATGCTACTGAAGTATGTCAAAAGATACCGATAAACTTTGAACATCAGTCCTTACCTGGAGCTGAAGGGCTGCATCTGAGTCTTCATATATACGTCGAGCAACTCCCGAATTATCTAAGGCCAACTTTTCCAGAAAACTATAGCTTACATCAAATCCAAAGCCAAGGCAGTAGAGGAAATACTTCTCTTCATTGGCGTTATTTATGTTTTTCTGTATTTTCTTAGGGTTTGTTTCACCTGTTATATGGATGAACATGCACAAATATATGGATTACTTTGTTTTAGATTATTTATTGTATTTTCTGACTTTTCTGCTTTATAAACATTAGCTGTCTTAAGTGCCATTTTCTAGTGAAAAGACAGGATATGAACATGGTATGTGTGTACATGGCAGAGTAGCTTGCTCAGATGTGTCACTGAACTAGAGGTGGTATTAGCAGGTTCTGAGCAGTTCTGGAGAACCAGGAGTGGAAATTTTGAGTAGTTTGGAGAACTGGTAAATACCATCTCTGACTGACCCCACCCCCATCTATTCTATGCCTCCTGAGTCCCAGCTGATTTGGAAGAAATGGGGATTTTGCAGTAACCTTCGCCTGGAGTGGGGTGGGAATGAAAATTTTATAGTATTCTTCCCCTGCTCCCCCACCAAGCCATAACACGCACACCAAGCCACGCCCACAGAACCAGTAGTAGAAAATTTTGAACCCCACCACTGCACTGAACCAAGATAAAGGATTAAGAGAGAATAAAGGGTGTGTGAGAATGATAGCATAAGCAATAGAATATGACTGCTACAAAATTCTAAAGTATTATTATCACATAAACCAAATGCAGAAATCCACAATTTCTGTATATTAGAGATTTGATTTCTGAAATATTTAAATGATCAACAGATTAAATGATCAACAGAT